TTCTTCAAGATCACAAAGGAAAAGAAATGATTTAAGTACTTAGATGCAGTCAGGAACTTAAGAGGAGAAAGAAACATCAAAATAGTGTTGTAGATGAAAGGTAGTGTAATTAAAGCGGAGTTAATGTATTGACCAGCAACAAGGACATGAACATGAATGCAGATTAAAGACTACCTCATTCACTTGTCCCACATTAACTCTCATTAACCTCTCATCAATCTTGCTTTTTTATTGTTATTTGTAAGTCTGATGTAAAGAAGGATGTTGAATGAGAAACCTTAGGTTGAATAGGTACTGTACATACCATAGAGTATGTGCCTCAGGTTGCTTGATATTAATAAGACTTGCTACAAGTTTCTTGTCATTTATAGAGCTTTAAACAAATTTAGAGGTCAAGAAGCGCAGGGTTGCTGCAGTAACTTCTACCATAGGCAATTATTTAATTTATTCTAATTCATTGCTTGCTCAAGGTTTTAGCTGAAAACTGTGTAAAACATTGTTGATTGACCCTGTATAACGGTGTTCAAAGTTATTTTTAAAAATAAATGATTTAATTTATTTGTATAATTACATAAATTACAGTCTTCAGAGTAGCTTCATGGAAAAAATTGTACTGTACCTGACTTCCTATAATTATATATAATACAATGTACCATACAGTATACTGCATTGTTTTTAATTGTACTTGTATACAAAAATGATATTATTAGAATGAATTTCGATGCAGTGTAACTTTATTGTGTGATAAGTGTTATGTCAGTGAGAAAATTGCTTTCTTCATTGAAGTTGATAGCTTGGAGTATGTTACCCAAGGTACCTACAGTACTGTAAAGTATATTAATTCAAGTTTTTGCAAGTTCTGTGCTAGTCCTGTACAGTGGACAGGAACTGAGCAGACACCAGTTTAAAATGAGACTATAAAATGCTGGTTACTTTGTCACCAATTAGTATGGTACTTTACCGGAGTGTAGCACATTCAACCACACTTATGGATGTAAGAGATGATAAAACATGTCATAAAAATCGTAGTATGGGAAGTGGAGCGCTTAGGAGGTGACAATAAAATAACATATTTATTTGGATAGTGCCTTGCTTTGCTATTTCGTGAATAAAAGACTGCTTGAAAGAGTTGAAGTGGCTGTCGTTTGACACCTTTTTGTATTTTGTTTTTGCTCAAATTTAAATAATTTTGACACTTTTATAAATGAACTGTCCACCTTGCGATTGCTTATCATCTACAGTCACAATTTACTTAAATCATGATTGTTTTATGAATAAAAAAAATGTTAGACTAATATTTTTTGCTGGCTATATTTCAAAGAGTTACAATAAAAGAAGTGCAAAGATAATAAAAGTAATTAAGTTTGTTTAGGCATCAGAGAGTTACAGTCCAAATCCCAATAACATACAATTAACACTAATTTGCTTATGGCTTTAGTAGAGGTTAAAGAAACCAATGAACAAGAATAAATTCAGACAAGTTATTAATTTAAATTGATTTTCTGGAATCCTTATTATTTAAATGTAAGATTAATATTATTCCCTTAGCGCCCACTACTATTTCTTTGGCGGTTATGTTTGTTTTTGCCTCTGGTTTTCTGCAGGGAAATATTTTGGGTGATTGTGATAATACTGTAAATAAATAATGAAACATCTCTGTGATTGCTCCTTTTATCACCATGCAAACAATTGTTGACTTGCCATAATGTATTGAATTCTTACCAAGTTGCAACTTAGAGGGCTCTGTTAACAAATATTTTTTGATGACTTCAACTGACTTGGGACACTTTCTACACCCACTTCAGCAAAGAACAACCTGTTGACCATGTATGACCCTGCTTTCTGGTATAACAATAAAAGAAAGTGAGGCATCAAATGAGAGAATTATGGACATTTGAGCATTCCATTTGTAAAGAAAAAAATGCTTGGATGGTTAAAAATGCAAAAGGTGGCTCTGTGGTCCTTTGTACCAAAGCTAGTGTAAGCAAACGATTAACTACAGTGAGTCTTCTATTCCGACATCGGCCTAAGTGCAGCATATCATCCACTTACCTGAATTTCAATCTCTCATGCTTTTTTTTTTGCTTTTTTTTTCTTTTTCATGTTGGTTGTGCTTTTGAATTGTGTATTTTATAGAGTACTCGCCGTCCCTTTATGGTTACATATTACCAGGCATGCCTTTCCCTTTTCACAAGTGTTCTCAAAATTACAGTACTGTACATTTACAATTCTTATATTATTCATTGATTCCTTACCATACCTTTTCACATCATTCTTATTGCAATAATTTGAAAAATAATTACTCTGGTATGATTTCTAGTGATCACCTCCTTTATCTTCCACATTCTGTCCAGCATATTCATTGGAAGCTGCTAATGCTATCCTTCTCCTTAGAATGTCTGCCATCCCTCCCCCTTGAGATTTCTGCAATATCGCCCTCTGAAATAACATACTGTACGCTGCCCCTTGTTACATGACTACTATTCCTGAAATCTCTGCCAATGCTTTCTTAGAATCTGTCATCTCTTCTCTGTAATTTGCAACAATTTCTTTTTTATGGAATCTTACACATCTCCCTGGAAACTCCTGTTTTGTCCCCTCTGGATTCTGCATTTGGAAAAAAATGACATGTGTGACAAGATTTGAAGATTGTATAAATTATTACCTATACTGTCTAAACAGTATATGTAAGTTATGTTTGAAGTATACGCTTCAAGAAGTAAATCATGTCATAAAATATACACACCATACTGACGATCATTATTAAACAGTGATTTAGAATGATTGTAGATGAGAATTTGTGATTATCAGTCTTAACTTCCCGTTAAACTTTCAGACAGCTGAGGAGATTAATAATTTTTAGACCCATCCTTTAGAATAATCTGGGGTTATGCATAGTAATGTCATCAATGATGGACTTGGTACTTAAGATCACATATTATATCTTACCTTCAAGAATTGCTACTCTACCCTATTATTATTGATGTTACTCAATGACATAGAGTACCCATATCGATCAGTACATTTCAAACTTTAATCAAATTTATAATGCAAGTGTGCCTGCAACATCGTTGACATGATTCTCGCGTAAAAGAAAACAATGTCTGAATTTATTAAATGGCAATTTAGGTGAATATGACAATAAGGGGTTGTTCAACATTATCAACATTTTCACAAGTGTGCAAACAGTAGGCTAGGGGGGAGGGGGCAGACAAATTTGTACACTCTACACATGCAATGCAGTATGTAAAATAATGGTAAAATAATAATCTAAATAAAATAATGTAACCATGGATTCATTTTTAAGCAACCAAGTACATTGCTTTACTTGACTCTACAAAAAATGGAAAATGGTTTTGCAAAATCAACATTTTATTTGTACTTTTTCAAAGGGGAGGGAGGAGGTACCGAAAAAGATAAATGAATATTTTAGTCCAAAAGTCTCAAAAATGGCATCCAACAATAAGGGGTCTTTGCTTGTCCGGGGAACGCCGAAACAACTGTCAGACAAGTGCAATGCTACTGCTGCTCTATCTATTGAGTATCGGTATAATTAGCTAGATAATATTGAAATTGGTTGTTTGTAATTAAAGGTAAAAACAAAATATTACCTTATTTGTACTGGGTAGCCTGTTCAGTATAAATCTACTATTCTCCCACAGGGCCAAGTTATGGGTGTAGAGTTCTTTTTTTGTCTTAGACAAAAAAAAATATGGTATTCAGTTGAACCCAGGAACCAGAGATAGTAGGCAAGCATTTAAACCATCAAGTTATTCAATTCCATCGACTCCATTAGTGTAGTAGGCTCTTAATCTCTTTGCATAGAATAGTAATATATAAATGCTTATTATGCTAATCCATTTTGTAATTTCTATTCAGTATGTTACCAGTACTTATTTACAGGTGAATCATTTTAGAATATAACCAAAGTATTATCAATATTCTGAAGTTATTTAATTTTTTGTTTAGTACAGTAGATGTATTAAGCCGCTTTCATAAATTGAACAAAATACAAAATATAAATGATCTTAAAGAAATATGAAAAATATTTTAATATTTCCATTATAATTTAACCAAAATACAAAGCAACTGAACATAAATATTAAATATGGAACTTTAATATTGTTTGTTTTTATCATTCAGTGTAAATGGCAGTATATATTTTTTTATGATATATTAATAGAAAAAATCCATTAAACAATAGTGTTAAAATTAAGTTGTAACTCTTCTGATATTGATGTGTGTTGGTAACTGCCCTGTATCTGCAGATTCAGTTGGAATGAATGGTTAATGTTTCATGTACAATTTATTAGAATCGATCTACAGTATCCTATGAAGTCTGCAAACAGTTGTGCAGGCTTAATTTTTCCTAAAACATGTTCTGTGGGTGTTGTTGTTGTGAGAGTGGGTGTTGTTGTTGTGAGACTCTGTACCTTGGTTCATTTAAATTTTCTAATGGTTTTATTTATAGAATACTGAACAGTGGAAAAATAAATTGTTTATTTTTTAAACACAACTTGGGATTCAGTACAGAAAACATAATAATTTTTATTGTTTTTTATTTTACTGCTTTACAAGACTTTTATTGTACCAAACTATTACCTCACACTGCCAATAATGATGTTTTCAAATGAAATATAATTGGTTTTTTTGCTGGTTATCATACTTACGTACTGAAATAAATGGGAATTTAAAAAAAAACAACATTCACATTATATTTTTTCCCGTCCATTGCTTGCATTAAAATCTTCCATTCAGAAAGCTTTGTTTCATCTTGCTCATTATTCATAGTATCTTTTTTTTTTCTTATAAACCATTTCTAGAATCTTTTTTAATGAATGCGTAATTTAATGTTTGCAATTTGCATTTTTCATCACTAAATATTTTCATGCAATGTACACATTTTCTAGTATCTGGAGATACTGTAGTACAAAGCTCACCTATGATGATTTAATAAGCTGAAGCATGTTACCTTATTATTGTTCATTAATTTGTTTCAGGTCACTTCCTTGGAAACCACACCGTCATCGATCTTCTAAAATCAGAAGGGTACACCGTTGAACATGTGCCTGCTGATGAAGAAATTAAAAGGTAATTTATTTATTTTTTTTCATTGTATATTTATATTCAACATATGATAAACACCCTCTATATGAGCTTGATACAAGGCAGTCTACAACAGACGCAAGCTGGGTTTTAGAGGATGAATAAAATTTGTACTAAAGCTTTGGTAAGCAAATGTGGCAAATACAAGCCAAACCAGTCACTCGTCGCAAAATTCGATTTTGAGTTATTAATACAGTGTTAGAGAGTAAAATAATAGCTATAAAATGGAAAAAAAATCATTCAAATCGGACATTTCCTTATGAAGTTACAAGCGTTTAACCACACAGCTGTTTAAAGAACATATATATATATATATGAGAAATCAGCCTTCAAAGTTTATGATTTCAGGCATATCTCATGCAGAAACTATCTTTAAATCCTTAAAAAGTGTTGTTTCAACATTGAAAATGGGACAAATAACAGCATAGAATGATGTGTAGATATATAAAGGTTAGTTTAGTGCAATAAAATAAATTTTTAAAATTTTGACATTCTAGCATGTTTTGGCCATTTTCTCTGAAACACGATTTGCGACGAGTGACTCGTTTGGCTTGTCTTTGCCACAAATGGTTTCGCCAATGAATCTTGTTTCATCCAATTTTCTGCAGTCCTAAAAAAGTGCCATGTTTATCCTAGAACAGTAGCAAAAAGTACAATTTACAACTATACAGTGCTCCTTAAACCAGGTACTCACTGGGCGCGACAGCGACGCGACGGCAACGTGACGACGAATGCACGTGATGGCACGGAACCAACAGGTCGCTTTTTTAATGAGGATCCGTTCAGACTGCCACTGACAATCAGCAGACGGCGTTATGTCGTCTATCGCTCTCCGGAAGCAGAGGTGGATTCGTCGTGCAACGGTCATACGATGCAGTGAGTGCCTGGCTTTAGGGTCTCTCCTATACCACTACTTCTGTTGAGGGCCTGTAACACTACTTCTATTAAAGTCAGGCTCCGGAGGAAAAAATTTTTTTGATATGTTGTAGAACTGATTTTTCTAAGACAGAAAAAAGTTGTTTGACGAAAAACTGGGGAACGATGAATGAGATACAGATTTTTTAATATTTAAAAACTGGGGGGAAAAGGGGCGTAACTGCTCATTTTTACACTCTTATTCCTCAGTTTTTAAATATTAGAAAAATCAGTTCTACAACATATCAACATTTTTTTTCCTCCGGAGCCTGACTTTAAGGGGGACACTCTTCCACAAAAAAAAATAAATAAAAATGGGAAATATGTATTTAACACATATCAAACCTCAACTAAAGGGATGACTAGATCATATAAACAACTATTCAATCTCGATTAAGAAGACACTACTATATATTTTATCATAAGTACAATAC